GGACAAGAAAATTAGCGAAGTTAAAAATAGGGAGCGAGGCGCAACTGCACCTTCACGCTCAAAATCTGAACTTCGAATAATGAAAATCGTTTAATTGGTTGATCATATAGCCTGGCTCAGTAAAAGTAGGCGGCCAGTGTAACTCTGACTAAAAATCCGGTTATAACCACGTGCAGTGCTGATAAGGACCACGTGTTTCTGAGACTTGTTCCCTTTGTTTTTCTTCTTTCTAGGTATTTCTTTCTCCTGATGAGGAGGGACCTTTAGCTGCCCTTGAAATCGATTGAGTGTTTCAATATACTTACGCTAAATACAAGGTTGTTTTTACGATTTTGAAGCAATGAAAGGTTTTGTTACTTCAAGTGAAAAATCTTTGGTAGCTTGTTACCTAATAAACCTATGAATTGCCAAGACTGGGCAGGCTCACACTACTGGACAAAGCCTAATATTACAAGCAGCTAAAGATATCATTTTAACATCATTCAACGAAAAATCGGCTAATGAACTTAATAATATTGCTTTATCAAATGATACAAACGATTCATTCGATACAAATGATACAAAGTCGACGGATTCATAAAATGGCGAATTAAATAAAAGAGACACTTATTCAAAAATAAAACACAGAGAGTATTTCGCATTGCAATTGAACGAAAGTGCTGATGCAACGAACACTGTTCAATTATTAGTTTACATACGTTTCGAAGCAGATACGGATGGAGCTCCGGCTTTAACAGGAGAATATTCCAGTGTTATTCCTCAAATAAAGAAAGTCACGCTTGAAACTCAATTAATTTACTGCTCCATACATCGCGAAGCTTTAGCAGCCAAAACAGGACCCGAAAATCTGAAAATCGTTTTGAATCAAGCTGTGAAAATTTTTTAATTTTATTAAAAGACGAGCTTTAAATTCAAGAATATTTGTGATTTTATGCCAAGCGATGGGTAGTGAAAATGAAACGTTTTTGTTACATTCCGAGTAAGGTGGCCATCCAGAGACAAAGTTTCAGATCGTCTTTTTGAACTTCGATCAGAAATTCAAATTTTAATCAGTGATTCAAAATATGAATTGTAAAAATATTTAGTGAATTACGATTGGCGCTTTTAGCATATTCAGCCGATAAGTTAAATGAATTAAATTTAAGATTAAAAGGAAATTGTGTTAATTTTGTTTACAATTAGAGATAAAATAAGATTAGGGATAAACGCAATGACAAAAACCTCTAATAATCAAAGAATTGAATAATAATATTTAAAGCTTTTGACCACTTTTAGAATGTTTTCTAACCGAAAATATTTTAAAACTAAATGAGAGATGTGCATCCGATATTAAAATCACTGTTTTTCATTGATAAATAATTCCAACATGTATTTTACAAGAATTAGGAAAAAGAAAATTGGATTAGGAATTCCTTTTGCTCAAATGTATCTGAAATTTTAAGTCGTAAATAAAAAGAACAATTGATAAAGTTCCTGTGCTCATTCAAATACACACACTTTTGGATGAACCGAAAAAAAAAAAAAAAAAAAAAAAAAAAAAAAAAAAAGTCATTTAAAGTCATTTCAAAGAATGCTATTAAATTTTTATTGCTTTTTCGCACAACCTATTTCTGTGAACAAGGATTTAGCTCCATGTTATATTGGGAAAATATATACAGAACAAAATTAAAAGTGGATATTAATTTGCGATTAAAACTAATCGAAATAAGAACAGGCAAAAAGAAATTGATCTCTCTTAAACAGTGCTAAATTTCACACTAAATTTTAGAACTCAGTGTGAATTAATGTAATTTTATACATGAAATACGTATTTTATACATATTCTGAAATTAAAAGTTATAAATTAAACTGAAATTTTGATAATTAAAATAACTAATATTTAATCTGATATTTTTTATGTGTGCATATTTAATACAAATAGCCAATAGTTTGTACAAATTTGCAAAATATATGTTTTTAAATATTTCTATTGTGAAACTGAAAATTAATTATTATAAAAAGTAGTGATGGTGCTAAAGATTTTCAAATTTTGTTTAAATGGTACGCGTTAGTCTAAAGGTTGAGAACTGCTGCTCTAAACATAGAAAAGTAAGTTTTCCAATTATATACATCCGGTGTGGTGTGGTGTATTTAGTTATGGCAAAGCACACTAGAGCTATCTTCCTAAGGGGAGGGATGCCTTCGTGGAGGATTTTCTAAGGGAAACTCCCTCGTATACACGTTTCACATGGGGAAAACAACGAAAACGCCCATGCAGCCAGCCCGTTCGCGGGATATATACATCAGAAAGGGAAGTCGCAATTGTATTATTTTTGGATCAACTGTTCGCTTTTAAAAAGAAAGCTGACTTTAGCCTATAGTCTTTACTAATTAAAGAAACAAATGATTACAAAAAACTTTTTTTTTTGGTCTAGCAGAAGCAAATTTCAAAGCTCGTACTACCATGGTCATTAAAATGTTCTACCTCAACTGACACAAAACACTACCTGTGACACTTTGCTTCTAATTTAATTTTTAAATGAAATTTATTTTTAAATACTATGTAATTTAAGTAAACTGCGGAAAGATATACACAAGATTAATGTATTGAAAGTTAATTATGGCAAAGGTGGAGGCTATAATAGAACTTACAGGCTATATAAAGCCTACGTTATATATAAGAATTCGCATGATTAACTTTATGAGCTTAAATTAGTAAACTTTTCTTGTATTTATTTTCTTTATAAATTTAGGAGAATACATTCCACATTTTCCAATTTTACGATGAAAAGGTTCACCATCAGGCAAAGGAGAAAAATTGTCAATTTAATTTGAAAATAAAGACTAACATTTTAATGCATCTAGCATACCGTAATAACTTTAATATTCAGAACTCGCCTAGAGCTTCAACAGTTTTTCTTTCTGTTTGAAACAATGACTCTCCAGCGGAAAATGCTTTGTAATCGCATAATTTCCTACTTCCCGAGTTTGAACTGGCTGTCGTGATTTCCAGACTTAACAACCGCAGATTTTTATTTTTGCTCGTGAGGATTAAAAGAATGGCTTATGTATATAGCTATGGATCATACAGCAGCTGACCGCCAATATTTGACAAAAAGTTCAAAACATAGGACCCGAACTTCTGAGGACATTTATGGTTCCATCTTAATTTTCTGGATACAGGATAACAATGGCTGCCATTTGCTATTAATTTTAAATCATAATGTAAACATATTTCCATCAGTTGTATTCAAAGTTATGAATGCAGTAAACAAATAAATTTGGAATAAAAAGTGTTATACGTTATTTAAACTTCAACATTTATTATATGCGGTTGTAAATATATTGTTAAGGTAGACTGCCTGAGTTATAAACCTTGTTCTGTTTCTAACAACACAGTTGCGATAAAACCGATTGAAGGAGAAATCTTGCCAAAGTAAGTGCCATTCTAGGAAGAAACGATGTGAGCCGCAAGCGTCAAAAAATAAAAACTACATTTTTGAAATTCCTGGAATTCCATTATCGTAAACGGAGTTCCTAAAAATAAATTTTTAACTGACAGAAAGACAGCCTAGCTTATATTTCCTATATGTTATGATCCGTGTTCCGATCAACACGAACCCAGGTTTATAAGTAAACAGGCAGTAAAGAAAAAATTGTTTTTCTCCTAGTAACAAGTAGTTTCATAAGAGGAAAAACCTCCGAAAGAAACTTTTAATGGTCTCTGACGTAAAGAATAAATATACAAATAATGAGGTCGAAAAAGAAACCTTAAATAGCAATAATTCGCATGTGAATTTTGCATTTCATACAAAGTGGATAACAGTGAGGTTTGAAACCACCAAAGAAGAATTGGTGAAATAAAAGTTTTGAACAGTTTTTAAGAAATCTTAATTTGGATATTTACTTTCTTTGGAACCTTAGTACTTTTAAATTTGGCAAGATGCTAATACAGTAAAGGCGAAATATACAGAGTGTGTGAATACATAAATTGGCAGTCAGAAGTGTAATTTCATTTGCTCTCACATTATACAGATTTAAAATTCAGTACCGTAACTATTTGAAAAACAATATATGTGATGAAATTTCAGTAAGAGTCGATACCAGCCTCCGTACGAACAACCTATGCTATGTATTATCGGAATGGAAAAAAAATCTCTGATCTTATTAATATAATCCACCAATAAGTAGTTAATTTAAGGTCAATGCTTCAAAAACACTTTTAGATTTACAGCTGATTTATACCTTAAAGGTGAGTGTTTCAGTAAAAGAATTTATGACATTCCCGCCCGTACCCTAGAGTTGTACTTGATTAGAAACAGAATTATCGTATAAGGTTGTTGAAGAACTAATACATTCTTCGCCAAATTAATTATTTATATAAATAAATTTACATAAATAATTCGCATATTTAACATACAGAGATATATCAAGCGAAAGTAACATACTTAAATATTTTGGTTTAGTGTAGAAATATGCTGAAGTCGAATATGCTAAAGAAGTCAAAATATGCTAAACGGAAATGAAGCAAAGAAAACAATTAAGGATCTCAGGCTTTTTTTCGCAGCTGTTATTCCTCTGGTCAGGAGTCAAATCTGGCAGCATATAATAACCTTGCAGTTCCTGTTTTAAAGTAACAGTCTATATCAACTAGATTATCGACGGTCTAACACAGGTCAGGGAACGGGCGAAATGTTTTTCATTTCTCGAGCGGAAACATCTAATAGACTGAAATGAAATCTTCAATAAAGTGAACAAAATATTCAGCAACTGACTACAATACAGACATTGCTTTTAAAATATTATGCTTGACTGTAAGGTAATGGAAGACTTCTTAGCTTTCAGCTTCAGTAAGCAGAAGAGACTAGAAGTTCACAAATTCGTTATTCAGCATATGGATTTTCAGATTCTGATATTTCCTACTAAAGATATATTTATCAAGAAATATTCCTACCACTGTATTGCAGGGAACATCTGTTCAGAAAACCTATAATCATTCTCTTATAAAAAGTTCTACTTACCAACCATCTAATCTCGTCAATGTGAATCCGAATTGTGGATCTGTTGCGACACTGACTCTCACTGCAATTAATCCTGTTCTTTCCTTATTTACCACTCGACCTCTGATCACGGAAACACGGCTGAAAAGTAAGAAGCGATTCATTTATTTTAGTTTCTGAGTGAAAAAATAATTTGCTTTTCAAATACAATAATTTATAAGTAAATTTCAAATACTTTGGTTGTCAAGTGAAAGGGACCGTAGTCACACAAATTGTCTTATTTATTTATGATTCGTTAAGTTCGTATAAATAAATTGAATTCTCTAAGACGACTACTACCGCTTCCAGACATTTTTAGTTCTTGTAGAAGTGGTTGTTACAGGAAGTATGACCAATGATGTCAGATAGAATTATCTAATTATACTCTTAGAAAAAAGATAACTTTTTGAGATTGAGGTTATCATGAGCGTTTCAGTGTAGCAGGACTTAAATACATATGTTTATGCTTTGTTTTTGGTAACTTAGGAGTATCTTTAAATACAGAAGAATGACGCTTTACAAAAGTTACTAAAGACATTTTAAATATCCTTAAAAAGGACCTTTTTACTACAGACATATACTTTACAGTTAGATTAGTTTTGAGAATAAAATTTTATTTCTTTTTTTCGAAAAAGATAATACGTTAGGCTTTATTAAAAAAGAATGATATATTTTACAATAAGAATGCCTTAATTTGAATATATTTATCTTTAATATTATGTATATTTTAGTTATAGCATCCTTGATGTAATGTTGCAAAATAAGAAAATAGTACAGTTTTTGTTTGTTTCATTATTAGAATTTCAGAGCACAAGGAAAATAATGGTGCACTAAACATAAGCATATTTTCTGTCGTGTTTTGATTTCAACCATACAGCTTTTATGGATGAGTCCACGAACAGGATAGCAGAATAAAATATCACTTTTAACGAGATTTTAGTCAATATTAATGTTTTTGGTGATCAATAACTACCTAAAGCAAAATTTCAGTCTCACTGATATGTTGCATAATCGGCATTATTTCTTATTTTCTTTATCCTTTAAATTACTTTGGAATGACAATTAAAGTATGCGCCGCTTTCTTTATGCTTTCTTTTCTTTCTTTATGATTGTTAAATTTATGGTTAAATTAGATTATTAGTTCTATAAATTCAAATTATTGCATCTTCAAGCAATTTGACTGGAAGTTCAAGATCACTTTGTTTCTATATATTTGTCACGTTCTTCTGTAATGATTTTATACCCGAAATTCCCTATGTAAAACGAATAAAGTTTTTAAAATTTCTATCCTTTGCTTTAATAGAAATTACAAAATATTTATTGTTGAAATACGTGATGAGTGTAAATAATATTTTAAAGTTCATTAATTAAATTTTATTTGAAGACGTTTTAACCTATTATGAAAAAAGGTTCTACATGAAAGTACCTTTTTTAAAAATTTCATTATTAACTACTTTAACTCTCTTAGGATATAAATATTTATTTTTGCCTTTACAGTTTTTTATCTCAGTAAATGCTACCTGGCAGACTTGTACTTTGGTAAATTGTTTCTTTTAATCTTTTGAAGATGTGGGAAACTCTCACCAATTTATTTTAGAGGATTTTTATTTCTTTATTTTATTTTAATTTTCTTTTGTAAGAAATTCGAAAATCGATTCTAGAATTAGCTGTGACTAGCTATATTTCTTATTTGGTAACGCAGTTTGCGGAGTCTTTTTTCTCCTTTAAAAGATACGTTTGGAGTATTTTGTTCAATGAATAGTTCATTTCTTTTCATTTATCTAGCTTTCTTCCAATTTTAAAAATAATTCCCATGGTAAAGAACGTCTGGTATCGATCATATATTTTTCTTAGTAGCGCGATATTTTTAAGCCCTAGTTTATGAATTTAAAAAGGGCAATAAGTATAATTTCGTTTATTCACTTCAGAAAGAGGATTCCTCTGCATTTTTGTTCTTTAATAAATGTTGTCTTATTTTGAAGAAAATACTGCAATTAAATCAGAGACGGTTTTATAATTTATTTTATTTTAGCTAAATGATTGAGATGAAAACATCATCACGTTGGATAGCTTGCTTCAGTGCTTCTCAGTTAAGGGGATTACCAATTTTAAAACTATTCTTAATTGTAATAAATAAATTGCAAAATTATTCTCGTGTTTTTCTGTATGATTCGTACGTTTAAGAAAAAAATTGATTAGTAATTTTAAACATAAAAAATAAATTTTTGACTGTCTGAGGTTTAAAAGAATTTTTGTCTAACCAGAATTAAATCTAAAATTAATTTTCAAATATATGAAGAAAGAAAAAGAGAAATTAAAATAAAATAAAGGAAGGCAGACCCTCTGAAATAAATTATGAAGAGAGTAATTTTAAAATATTCTGTCCTAATTATCTCAAGTAGCAGAGCATAAACGTGAATTTAATTTTATGTAAACAATATATTTCTCTAAATAAGTTTAATTCAGAAAGTAAATTACAGATAATTGTTTTAGGCCAAGGATATTTTATTAAGTTCGAGATCTAAATACCCTTTGAAAAGACTACGTCACTCCGTGTCTGAACATAATACACGTAGTTTCTATAAATACCTATCTGAATCTTCACACATCGTTCAGCTTCTCACCGATAATTTTATCCTTGGTCATGGTGTATAAGGCAACCGTTTCCACCTCTTCATCGTCCGAAAATTATTGTCAACCAGACATAGACTCCCGTGCATTTGTTTGAATTTGTTATTCTGAGACTGGTAGCATCGTACCTTTTGTTATCAAAGTTGTTGCCTTTTTTTGTCCATCAGCAGTAATTAAGTTTATGAATTCATGTTCAAACAATTGGCAGCTTTTGACTGTGCTTGGGTGAGATAATGCTTTCGCTCCATTTACATAATTTCTCTGGCACATTTAAGGCGTTCTGCCATCAAAAAACATATTTTCTTCTTATTTTACACGGGAATGGGGATTAGGACCGAGCTAGAAGCATAAGGGCAAGTTTCAAGTTTACGAACCATCTTACTCTTGTGTTGCGACTCAACTCTTATCGCTACTGTAATGAAATAGGAAGGAGAGGAGTTATCTTTACACTGCATATACGTCACCTTCGTTAAGCAAGGTTTATCTTAACGATGATTACCATATGTTAATTTCAATAACACGAATTTTAGAAAATACTGAAACGTAGTTAAGCTAAGACCATAACAAATGCTTTCTGTAAGATGTCAGATTACGGCCTAAACGAGATAACAATCACTATCACTTCAAAGCTATTTATGACCACTGACTATCTTTTTCTCTATATGGCATTCTGATGGCATTAGTTACAGCTGCTGAAAGCGATCACATACTAAATACACGAGAAATGGTTTCAATACCTAGAGGAAAACTTCAAGAAATTTCGAGAGAAAGTAACTGATTAATCGGCATCAAATAGGTACTGGCGTGAATAACCGTGAGCAAGAGCTGGTTAATCGGTGTAAATTAGCAAAGAAATCCTACGCAAAGAAAAACATATTTCACATACTGAATTCGGGATACTTCAACAATGAAAGGCTCTGAATATTTTCTCATCACATTTTTACTTGCTTTTCTTTCTGGACAGTATTTTTCTAAATATTTTGGAAAATTCTTGATTACACCGAGTGTAATAGTAGAGCTTCTGTAGAAGGGAAATCGGAAAACTATAGTGTAGTAGGAACTGTACTATTAGAAGAAACTGTAGTATAGTAAGAAAATTTTATAACTGAAAATAAATATATTTTACGAGCAAATGAAAGACTTTGAAAAATTTTGTGCAGAGATCCATCTATAACAAATTACGATTACAGTCTATAAAATATACAATTTATTATTAAACGAAATTTCATTACTCATTTCTCCAAATGTAGGTCTTTAATTTCGCGAAGGTTTTACATAACTTTAAAATTAATCCTAAATAGACATGTATTTTTCCTCATAAACAATTCTAAAATACTTTTATATCTGTTAATTCATTTTTTAAACCAGTTATCAATTAATATTATAGTAGAAAATTCAAAACTGTGTTTATATACAGCTTATCTTAAATAGAACATAACAAACGGAAAATTAAAATTGTCATATATAACCAGTCGAAGAAATGAGACAAACATTACACAGAACTACGATTTCAAACAGCTAGCAGAAGAAATTTTATTACATTATTTTTAAAAAACTAAGTTTTAAATTAATGTGCTGTTGTTGCAGATTTCGTCGCACACTGATTAAAAGTGATATGATTAACGATTAAAAATTGAAAAATACAAGAAACAAAAGTAAAGGCATCACACGGAGCACATCAGCTCAAAGAGCTGATTCACAGAAACGTGTTGGCATTAAAATAAAAAGGGGAGGATCACACAAAAGGGATTTAGTCAGAAATTAGAAACAGTAGGTTTGGAGCAACAGGTGGGAGGGAAGAAAAAAATACAAAATTAGCAGACAGACATCACATAGTTACAAAAGGATAGAGAAGTGCATTCTTTAAAAATATTTTATATTTCAATGTAATATGAATACAAACAAAAATAATTAAATTTTATTCTTAATTCCGTGTATATGTGTATATTACACCATAATTTTCAAGTATTTTTGGTTCATATTAAAACAAAGAAAAAAAACTGTTTCCCGCTTTTAAAAGATTATGCTTTCTTAACGGATGTAAAGAAAACCTAAGCTTCATTTTTTAAATCACAAAGAAATCATAAGCTCTTTTTCGGTTTTACAATATGCATATTTCCTGAAATTATATTCAAAAATCGTGCATCTGATTGTTTAACAACTGAATATTATTAGTCAAAATTTGAAGGATAGTTTATACTGCTGTAACTACATTCAACCATATAAATTGTTTTGAAACAATTCTACTGCACAATTCAGGCAACGTGCATCTAGTTATATATCGGAACAATAAAAAAAAAAGAACGCTGGGTATATGCAATTGTCTCTTAAGCATTAGCTTGAGGCTTATTCTATTTAAAAATACTTTTGTGAACTAAAATAATTCGAGCAAAGGTTTTGAATTTTCGCAGAAAATTAAATAACATAATTTAATAAAGGATGAAGAAATTTTATGAAATAAATAAGCAACCTCTAATCAATATATTTTTAATTACATATTGTATGATGATTGTCAAGAAACATGTTATTTAACGATCCTATAACTTTAAATCTGTGAATGTTATTTTTAAATACTTTTCAAAAAGTTAGATCAATAATATTACATTAATTCTTATTTTATCTTTCAATCTTAAAGGAGTGGAAATTTAATTTAGATTTTAAAAGTTTGAAACATTTATTACATATACTTCAATATTTAAAAATGTTTTGATCTTTTTTAAAGAATGCAATAATTCACATAATAATTCTGAAATGGTATTCTTTGAACAAAGAAAAACTTAACAGCGAAATTTATAAACTATTTATCAAAGCAACAGACCAGTTTTGTAAATGATATATCATATGCATTATACTTACCTCTTTGCAAAAGCTGTCCAGAACTGGCTGCATTGGGAATAAGTAGGAGCAAAAAATTGTATAAACAATTAGCTCTAAATGAGCAACACAATACATAAAATACTATACATCTTTACAGCAAAATATTGAGAACTAATATCAGTAAGACCAATATTAAATACTCATATCTGTTTAAATACTTAAAATTCGTATTTGAAATTGAGTACTAATTTAATACCCATGAAAAAATTAATTTTTTATCTGCTGAGATATATACTACAAATTGGTGCTTATATATGCAATAATGAATATTTATTATAAATAAATAAATAGTAAAAATAATGTTTATTTTTCTTGCTATTATTTTATTTGATAGTATATTCTCCCTAAGATCAGCACACAGCACAGCTATTAGACAATGGTGCACAATTTATTTATTGATTACATCAGGGATCTAAAAAATTACTAAACCAGTTCAATAATTCAAAAAAGGAAAGTTACTTAGCATTTCGTAAACCAGCATTTATTATAAAAACATTTTTCAATAAAATGTCTTATTAGTAAATGATATACACGGGTTGGGTAGAAGCGCCTAAAGATGATTTAAAACCCATGTCCTTTGCTATGTGAATTAACAACACCATCCTGCAGATCACAATGAAACTCTTACCTCGGAGTTCAATTTAGCGTAAGACTCTGCACCATGTTATTGCCATAGAGGTATTTCTTCGAATAACGTTTCTAACGGCCACTCAAAGGGAGTTTCGTAAGCAGACCAACCCACGAGATGCACCATCGCGCAACGCATTAAGAGGGTACCGAGCTTTAGATATCAGACACACTGAATGACTTGAAACAATGCCTTAAGCACCAGCCTGAAACATTTCGCAGGATATTATACTATAATGGATAATGTTCAGGTTCCGAAATCGACTCCAACAATGCCTGTGGTCTAATAGAGACCATTCAAAAGACATTGCTCTTAAGTAGACGCAAGAATGCTAAATGTAAATACTTTTCTGTCAAGAATAAATACATCTCTTTAAAACCCATCAATGCATAATCAAACAATTATTAGTTTAACAAAGACAAAATGCTCATTAGTAAATTGACCGGGCTTACAGACTTAATTTAGAAACTTATAGGTTTAATTTAGAAGGACTGTAGCCTTTGCAAAGTGTTAAATCTATGTTAAGTAGACAGAAACTGTAATAAACCTAGAATTTTAAAATGCAAAATCAAAAAATAAAACTGCAGATTAGCAATTTCATTTCACTAGGTATTTTTGAAATTTTGATGGGAGAACCATTCTTACAATAAATAATATAATTAAATTTAGGCGCCGTAGATTATTATTTTTACATTCTGACCAATTTTTTTTCATAATTTGAATAAACCAGAAAATGATAATATTTATAATTTTCTGATAAGTTATATATGTATATATATATTTTCCTATTATATGTAAAAATATCAGGAAACTGTCTTTGTAACAGCTTTCACGAAAACTACGATGACGCTTCTTGAGCTTTAAAATTCAACTAAATTTAATATCAAAATCGTAAAAAACAACCTTATATTTAGCGTAGGTATAATGAAACACTCAATCGATTTCGAGGGCAGCTAAAGGTCCCTCCTCATCAGGAGAAAGAAATACATAAAGAAGAAAATAGGAATCACAGAAACAGTGGTGCTTATCACACTGCACGTGGTTATAACTAGATTTTTAATCAGAGTTGCACTGGCCGCCTACTTTTACTGAGCCAGGCTGTCTGATCAAGCATAAGAAATATTAGCGAAGTTAAAATAGGGAGCGAGGGGCAAATGCACATTACGCTCAAAATCTGAACTTCAAATAATGGAAAGCAACCACTAAAACGGATTTTTATACCCTCTGGTAGTACCAAGTGCGAGGAGGTAACGCCATCTATCGCAAAAATAATTGAATTAAGACAGTAGAATTTTTAAAGGCATTAGGAAGGACTGGATTGGAACTTCAAACCATTAACTAAACTTTCTAATCTTGTGATGTGAAAGCCTAAGAAAAATCCAATTCGCCTATGGAAGAAGCCTTTTGGATGATTTTGCAGACCCAAAATCAAAATTATGGTTAAAAGTCCAGCTATGATACGCTATTGAAGACTTGTTAATTCCCCTTTTTTGACATAAGATTCATGTTCCTTGATACTAAACTTCAACGCTCTTTTTTGTTTGGCCAATATATCTTAAACCACACTGACATGATATACATAAATTCCCCAAGAATTCAAGACAGAAACGCAATCTTCTTTTAGAATCGAAGGGTGAATTTATTAATAGGGGAAACCGATATTCTTATACTCCCCTTCCTCGATATTCTTATAATCCGCAATGAAACCGATTTTAGCACCACTGTGTACCGTAAAACCTTTGCAGTTTGTTTTACCACCCCATGCCAGTCATGCCACCCTGTTAAGCAAAAATGGCTTCTTTTTTACTATTATGTTTTCCGCGCGCTAAAAGTTTGTTCCTCTGAATCTTGCTTACCAATGAACTTAATTATTTGAGAGCAGTTGCGATTGACCGTGGATTTTCTCCCGTGATTATTGATAAAAGCCGTCAAAAAATTTTCAGATTCCCATCAAGAAGACATTCCACTGTTAGAAATAATTCAATGACCTTGTATGCTTCCATTTTATCCTTCTGTTAGCTATAAAATTGCACGGATTCCCAGAATTCAATTTTCAAGTCGGTTTCTCCCCTATTAATAAAATTCCCCTTCGATTCTAAAGATTGCGTTTCTGTCTTGAATTCTTGGGGAATTTATAGTATTCATGTCAGTGTGGTTTAAGATATATTGGCCAAACAACAAGAGCGTTGAAGTTTCGTATCAAGGAACATGAATCTTATGTCAGAAAAGGGGAAATTAACAAGTCTTCAATAGCGTATATAGCTGGACTTTTAACCATAATTTTGATTTTGGGTCTGCAAAAATCATCCCAAAGGCTTCTTCTTCCTAGGCGAATTGATTTTCTTGAGGCTTTTCACATTCACAAGATTTAGAAAGTTTATTTAATGATTTGAAGTCCAATCCATCCTTCCTAATGCCTTTAAATTCTACTGTCTTAATTCAATATTTTTTCCGATAGATGGGCGTTACCTCCTCGCATTGGTACTACCAGAGGTATAAAAATCCGTTCAGTGGTTGCTTTCCATTATTTGAAGTTCAGATTTTGAGCGTATGTGCATTTGCCTCGCGCTCCTTATTTTAACTTTCGCTAATATTCTATGCTTGATCAGACAGCCTGGCTCAGTAAAGTAGGCGGCCAGTGCAACTCTGATTAAAAATCTAGTTATAACCACGTGCAGTGCTGATAAGCACCACTTGTTTCTGTGATTCCTATTTTCTTCTTTCTGTATTTCTTTCTCCTGATGAGGAGGGACCTTTAGCTGCCCTCGAAATCGATTGAGTGTTTCATTATACCTACGCTAAATATAAGGTTGTTTTTTACGATTTTGATTGTCACATTAGCGTGTTTCTCTTCTAGTCTAAATTTAATATGTTTAGAAAACATTAAAGAGGGGATATTTTTAAATCCGAAAGCTGTATTATATTTTGTCTGTATTTGCACTTATGATTTTGTATTAATTTGCTAAATATAAATTATGTAGATTTGTACTCCTAAAACGCAAGTTGATAAATTTCCAAAAAAAGATACATGTGGATTTTCATTTGAGCAAGCAAATTTAGTAAGTAAAATTCAGATTCTATAGCACGCATATCTATGTTATCATGCTTTAATATTTGAAAACCAGAATTAAAATGCAAAGTAAATAAGATGTCTTACTCTCAGAAAGCAAAAGACTCCTGGGAAGTCAATGAAATTGTGGTGAATAATAATATATGTAAAAACCCTGTAAAATGTAAAGATCTGACCTCTAATCAAAATTATATATTTCGGCCTAACTCTATTTTTTTCATATCTGCTATCATCTCAAATGAAAATGCATTTACAAATTCACAAAATACAATGCATAGGAAGAAGTAGATATTTAAAATCATATTTCATAGCCATTGCAAAAGAAATTGCAAAGTTTCATTCTTTAGAAAATCTGAGAAACGTTCCAAGCAGCAAAACCAGAAAGACTGCTAATAAACCTATGAACTATCACCTTTGTTTCTGTTTCATTTATACAATCAATATACGATATTAATAAATAACAACAAATATATCAGACGTAAAAGCAATAAAAAGTTAATAATTTTGTTTCCATGAAGATGAAAAATTTGTAGAGACATTAGGTATTATTTAACCAGGAGAGATGAAAAATGAGCAATGCCCTCGCCGGGACTCCAACCACGAACCTCTCGAAAATGCGCCGAGCGTGCTGACCAGTACACCACGAAGGCTTGCTAAGAAGGCAGGAGAAATATATTATATACTTCTCCTTTTAAAGGGAGACTGGGGATTAGGGGACCCAATGCAGAATCCTGGTGGTGGAGAATCATCATTCATCACTTTTTTAGTTCGGGAGGTACTGTAGAGACATGAATTTGTGAAGCAGGAGAGATGAAAAATGAGCAATGCCCTCGCCGGGACTGGAACCATGGACCTGTCGAATACGCGCTGAGCGTGCTGACCGCTACACCACGAACGCCTGCTAGGAAGGCGGGAGAAATACCTTATAAGTTATTTATAATATTTTATTAGTTTATGTATAGAAGACTCGTGAGAGAGTAGTGTTACCGTTGTACCACGAAGGCATGCAAAAAGGAGTACAAAATACCTTATATACCCCCTTTTAAAAGGCGACTGGGGGTGAGGTGACCCAATCGACAAATATTGGCAGTAATGTATTATGGTCCACCGCCATTCAGTTTGAAAGCCATGTGTAGAGTCATTAGGTTAGTGCGAAGCGGAAGATGTAAAAAATGCGCTGTGCCTTCGCCGGGACTCAAATCCTCGACCTCTCGAACACACGTCGAAAATATTTCCACTTACACCACGAAGCCAAGCGGAAAGGAGGGAGAAACTACCTTATATACTCCCCCTTTTATAGGGCGACTG